TTTTATAACTTTTTTTTCTCCCTCTCTCACACTCCACTGAGCATTATTTATTCACTTTATTCCATTTTGCCTCCCTTCTGTCGTTCCTCCCCCGTGGCTCCACAACCTGTCCTCCCCCCACCTTGATCTTTTATTCCCTCTCTTTCTCTGCTTCTGTTTCTTCTCCTGTATTTACTCATCACACTCTCCTCCATCCACTCTCACCCTTTATCCCTCACTCTCTCTCTCTTTCTCTCCCCCCTCGTTCTCTCCCTCTCTCACCCCTTCACCGTCCCCCTGTCTCCCCTCCCCCCCTCTCTGTTTTCTGTGTCAGTAGAACCCTTACGGTTACACAGACATACTGACTGTCGGCTGTGCCGTGGGGGTGGGATGCTGTTTCGGCACTCCACTAGGAGGTACTGTACACCTGCACCGATCGTCTCTCTGTGCTCGACTCGTCTTGTCTGTGAAAACACACCACAACTGTTTGGAGTTTGATTCAAAAAGTCAGCGTTACTTTAAGAATGAGCGACAACTTGATAACTTTTAATCCAACAAAATGAAATAAATACGACAAATTAATCAGGTGGTTCTCAAAGTAGGGGGTCAGTCCACTCTGGGGGACACAGGCAAATGTTTAAAAAACGTTTGAAGAAATATTCCAAGTGCGTTGATGTTTTATTTAGGGTCCCTGATGAGAGTCCTGTTGACCAAAGGGGGCGCTGTGTTAATCAAACCAGCTATTTTAGTTTTTATTGAATTTGATATAATTTTATCATTTATAATATATAAAAATATAAATGTATAATATGAATAAATACATATATAAAATATACACATATAATATATATTTATTTATAATATATCATCTAATCATTTATAATATACAATCATTTTGATAACTTATTGTAAGTTAGGTCAGACCAGCAAGAACTTGAGTCTTGCCTGTTTACAGAAGGGGGCGCTGTAGCGTCCCTGTTTTTCCTCCCTGTCGTTTCTTTAGTTGTTAATATTTTTACAGAACTGTTTTTACTGCTCATATGTTTGTTTTACTGCCTCCTGTACTGATTATGTCCTTGTGTATTTCTGTGTGTGTGTATTTATATATTTATATATATGTGTGTGTGTGTGTGTTAGACTGTGTGTACTCGCTCTACTCCGGCTCCCCCGGTGTGTATAATTACACCCTCAGCTGAAGTGTTTTTGGTCTCATTCTGCATATTTAACTCATTTCTGTTGCCACCTTCCTCTCTCTCTTTTCTATTTCTGTCTCCCCCCCCGTCCCCTTCCTCCCTCCTCCCCCTCCTCCTCCTCCTCTCTCACCCTTCTCCCACACTATCCATCCTCATTCTCTCCCCCTCCTTATTCCCTCATCTCTCTCTCTGTCCTTCCTTCGTCTTTCTTTCAACCACCACCAGGGGTGTTGTTCAGTATTGAGGTCACGTCTACCTACTTTGCTGTGAGGAATTACTGGCGAGGATATTTCGCCGCCACGTTCAGCGCCTTCATATTTAGAGTGCTCTCTGTTTGGAACAAGGATAATGGTGAGATGGGGGGGGGTGGACACACACACACTCATCACACTGACCACATTCTGCTGATCAGGCCTCATGTGGGGGGGTGGTGGGGGGGGGTCGCTGATAACACTTTTCACTGACACAGTATGCAGCAGGTGTAAAGTCGATTTCTGTAAAAATAAAAAAAAGCAGAAAAATACAGTTCACTTATTCAGTTTTTATTCACTTTTCTTATTTCTTTCTTATTTTTTTTCCTGTGTTTTTTTTCTTCCGGTCTCTGTCAGTCACGATCACAGCTCTCTTCAAGACCAACTTCAGGATGGACTTCCCCTTCGACCTGCAGGAGCTGCCGGCCTTTGCAATCATAGGGTGAGATGTTTCTTCTGTTGACGGTTGTAGCGTATGTCAGACTGATGGCATCACTCCCCCTGACAGGCTACGATTATACATTATACACTCATTATATAACGACTAATTATAATTCTGGGATAGAAGGCCAATTCGATGTTAATCCAGTGGTATCCAAAGTGGGGGGCGGACACCCCACAGGGGACCCAGCGATATGAAGCCAGAGTGATAAAAGTGTGTAATGATGAGTCAGGATAACGTCCTGACTCATCATTACACACTTTTATTCTTTAATTGTGTTCTTCAAAATGAAGTCCTAATGAATTCTACTTTAACGTTGTCTCCTGCGTCTCGTTCTCATCGTGAGTCAGTGACTATAAAAAAAACATCCAAGAATATCGAGGATCTTAATTCCATTTCGAGGCTGTGAACACCCAGACTGTGATGTCATCATGAAGTTGTTTTTTTTTTTTTTTTTTTTTTTGTAAATCCACAAACTAACCAAACTGTCGTCTCCTCCAATCAGAATCTCGTGTGGCTTCCTGGGAGCGTTCTTTGTCTACCTCAACAGACAGGTGGTGCTGTTCATGAGGAGACCCACAGCTCTGACACGCTTCCTAACCAAACAGTGAGGTCACACACCTGCACTCCCCCCCCCTCAACACACCCGCAACACACACACTTCCATCCACAGAGTTCTGTTCCTCAGTCCTGACGAGGGTTTCAGTGAAGACTCATCGACCCGTCAGACTCTGGTCAGCGTTTCCAGAGTAAAGAACGACACTGGAAACTGTTCTGCCAGTTAGAGCCAAAGATATCAGCCTTATCAGGAAACAGTAAACACGGCAAATGAATAAAAACAGACGTAAATAAACCTGGACTAGAACACGGCAGATGGAAACTGACGCAGATAAAAAATACAACCGCACCCTTCGAGCGTGTACACACACACACAATTACCCCAAAATAACTGCCCCTCCTGCAGCAGATCCTGTGCTGTTCTTCTTCATGGGCCTCAGCTTCACTCCCTGAACTCATCCGTCTCAGACAACAGACCGGGGGAAACGGCACAGCCGTAACCACCAATAATACACTCGCTTGGTCACATTCAGGTAGAGACCAGTACAGTAGAGCCACACACACACACACACACACACACGCGCTGCTCTGTAATAATAGTGTGTGTGTGGCAGATCCATTCAAACTCAGGGTATATTTATTTTTGGTTTCGTCTCTGCCGCTCCCTGACCTCATCAGTCTCACCACAGCGACCTGAGCCTCAACAACCATTTAGTTTCATATCCAGTCGACGGGGAGATTCATTTCTCCTCAGAGAGAGTCCACAGTCGGGGAACGTTAGTCTGAACGTTAAACACCGCTGAGTCCACGGAGCAGGAAGACTCTGACCAATCACAGCTGACCAACGGTTATACGTTCGTTACTGGACATTTCCAACCAGTTCTCTCTGGATTTGCCCTGTACTTCCTTCCCTGTCTAAGTGTGTGTGTGTGTGTGTGTGTTTTCTCCCAGTCGACCAGTCTATCCCGGCGCGGTGACGCTGATCATCGCCACCTTGACGTTCCCTCCTGGATTTGGACAGTTCATGGCTGGAGAGGTCAGACACTGTCACTCACACGAGCTGCTTGGTGGTCAAAAAGTTTCAAGACTTTTTTTTTTATGAAAATGTTTTTACATCTGGGGAGCAGGAAGTTCATTTGTCCTAAAACTCAGGGTTGTTGGATTGATTCCTGGCAAATACCAGTCATTAAAATGAGTCCAAGTCCAGACCACTGATGTCTTCTCCATCAGAGAACTTCTCCTCTGTAGAATATTGGAGGATGACCTTTGACACCAGGTCACGACCTCTCAGGCTTTGCCTGGTCTAAGGACTGGAATCCACTTCTTTAGAATGTTTTATCAGTTTTATCAGGAAAAGAAAAAAAACTAATCAGATGGTTCTAGAACCTGTCGATCATTTGAACGGGTTTCTGTTCAGGTTTGGTTAAAAATGGGACGTTTCCAAACACGTGGAAACCGGTCTGAACTGGTTTTAGTCATTAACATCAGGCACCTGCAGGGAGCGACACATCTGTCTGAGGACTTTTTGACTTTTTTTTTTTACTAACTCACAGTGGAACGTCCAAAAACAACGTTACATTTTTATAAAGTTTCACTTTTATCTCTTTATTTACACATCTGTTATTATTCATTTTGAATTAAAATGTTTACTTAACTGATGCTGTGACCGACTGGTTGACCGACTGGTTGACCGACCGGTTGTCTCTGTGCCTGTCGTCAGCTGATGCCTCGTGAGTGCATCAACTCCCTCTTCGATAATTTCACCTGGACCAAAATCTCAGGAGTTCCTGCTCCTGCGGGCCTGGGCCGCTCCGCTGCCTGGCTGCATCCTCACGTCAGTGTGTTTGTCATCCTCATCCTCTTCTTCATCATGAAGGTATCTGTCCCGGCGTCCTCCTGTGCACATTTAAATAAAGTGATGGTGATAGCGTCTAAAACCTCTGGGACTTGTCTCCTTCCCGCCTTCTGTCCCTGCAGTTCTGGATGTCAGCAGTTTCCACCACCATGCCCATTCCCTCGGGCGCCTTTATGCCGGTGTTCATATTAGGTGAGAGGATTTTCTTTTTTTTTTTAAATGTGGACGCAGTAGCTGCCGCTGAGATTCAGTTCGATTCATCTTTAAACCTTATCTCTCGCCTCAAGGAGCTGCGTTCGGTCGCCTCGTAGGAGAGATTATGGCCACGCTATTCCCAAACGGAATCCTGTTTGATGGGATAGTTTATCGCATCCTTCCTGGAGGTTACGCCGTCATCGGTGAGTCTCCTGTTCTGTTTGCTTGTTCTGGCACATCTTGACATAAAACGTGCTGTGGTCGATAGACAGGAAGGATCGATCGCAGCTGGATCCTTCACACACCTGTTCTGAACAGATGGTTTCTGTGTCTTTACCTTTAAATGTTAATGAGCCACTGTATGCCCCGCCCCCCCCCCTCTTTTATGGGGGGGCTGTAGGTCAGGTAAACCAGCAGATTCTGAGAGTTGTAATGAAGTGGGTTTTCTTTTTTCTTGTGCATGCTCAGTAAGGTAGTGTATGCTCTTCTGGCAGGTATGGTAAACTGTTAGGATACTGGATCAGAGGTTAATATCTTAATCATCTGCTTCATTTTTAGACACATTTCCAAATGTATGCTAATGATCAAAGCTCTGTTGAGTTGTTTAAAAGGTCCATGAAGGAGACGACAGACGCTCCACAGACAAATATTTGGACAAACTCCTAAAAATGTCCAATATGTCCCCTCTATGACTTTGACATGTGTGAAGACACTGACAACATTGGACCGTACGTTTTCATATTCCTCCTACAACACTTGAATACATCAGCTGTGTTCACTGACCTGACCTCCGTCTGCTGTGGCATTTAAACGTCTCGCGGAAAAAAACGACGACAGAATCTTCTGTAGGAATAAAGGCAGTTCAGAGACAATTGTTTTTTTAATTAAATGCTGCGTGATCACAGTTCACTTCTGTCAGATATTTCTTACCCCCTCCTCTTCCTCCTCCACCTCTTCCTCCTCCTTCTTCATTGCTGTCGAACAGGAGCGGCTGCCCG